TATTGTACACTGCGATTACTTGTTTGTATAATTATTATACGGAATAATCGTGCGATAATGGTGAGCTTGTTGGTTGCTCACCCCCATTATTTTCCTTGTTGTGTTTTCTCTTCCTTTGATTTAGGTTGAGACGAGCTGGAGGCGGTGGCGTAGGACGAGCGAGATGGTGGTCAAAATGTGATGATATCTTATGCTTCCGCATGAACTTGCTATTTATTTATTTGCTATCGTACCTTGGATTATTTATTTCTTCATTTTCGAACTATGTTGAATTTCGTCCTAACCTTGATTTCATGCTAGTCATTTAGGAATGATTTTGAAATTTATGATTTATGAGATTGTCATTTTGATAGCTCGAGCATATGTAGGTTCATTGGATTGATTGATTGAGTGTGTTTATTTATTGTGGTTAATAAGTAGCGCCCGTTTCTCGATAAATGTTTTAACTTGGAAAAAAAAATAACTCTCGATAAATGTTTCTCGAATTTATTAAATAAATTCGGTAAATTCTTTAAAATAAAACGGGGCGTTACAAAGCCACATCCTCATCTTCGGTAAATTTTGTTGAGGAGTGCGCGTTTGTCGATGTAACCGACCCTTTTATTGAAGCGATGGCCATACGAGAGTTCGAAGAGAAGAACTTACCCGACCTCGATGATGACGAAGAGCCGACCATTGACCTAAGTAAAACCAACCATACCGCCCCACGAACCGTTCCCACATTCGAGCTCAAAGAATTTCCCCGTCACCTCAAGTACGTGTTCCTCGAAGACAAGGAGCAAAAGCTAGTCATCATTTCCGCCGAGCTCACCCGGGAGGAAGAAAGCAAGTTACTCGAAGTGCTTCAAAAGAACCATAAAGCCATTGGGTGGAGCCTCGGAGACCTCAAAGGCATAAGTCCCTCCACATGTATGCACCGAATTGTCCTAGAAGAAGGTGCCAAACCCTTTAGGGATAGCCAACGGAGGCTTAACCCGAACATGATGGAGGTAGTAAAGACGGAGGTCCTCAAGCTCTACTCGGAGGGGCTTATTTCTTCAGTCATCGATAGTGAGTGGGTTAGCCCCATTCATGTGGTACCAAAGAAAGGGGGCATCACCGTTATCGAGAACGAGAAGAAGGAGATGATCCCCACCCGCATCACTACCGGGTGGAGAATGTGCATCGACTACCGGCGACTCAACGCCGTGACAAAGAAGGACCATTTCCCGTTGCCATTCATTGATCAAATCCTCGACCGCCTCTCCGGCCACCAATTCTATTGCTTCCTCGACGGACTTTCCGGCTACTACCAAGTGGCCATAGCACCCGAGGACCAACCGAAGACCACCTTCATGTGCCCTTTCGGCACCTTTGCCTTTAGACGAATGCCGTTCGAACTTTGCAACGCACCCGGAACCTTCCAACGGTGCATGTTCTCTATATTCTCCGACATGCTCGAGGACTGTCTACAGGTATTTATGGACGACTTTTCTATTTTCGGTGATTCATTTTCTCATTGTCTACATAATCTATCTCGTGTCCTTGAGCGTTGCATCGAATCTAATTTGACATTGAGTTGGGAGAAGAGTCATTTCATGGTGAAAAGTGGAGTCGTGTTAGGGCATATCATATCGAGTAGGGGGATAAAGTCGATAAAGCAAAAGTTGATGTTATTGAAAAATTACCTCCTCCCGTAAATGTGAAAGGTGTGCGTAGTTCTTGGGTCATGCGGGTTTTTATAGGCGTTCCGTTAAAGACTTTTCGAAAATTAGCCAACCATTATGCCACTTGCTTGCTAATGACGTGCCATTTGTATTTGATAATGCATGTTTAGATGCTTTTGCTACACTGAAAAATAAGCTTGTGACCGCTCCTATTGTTATTGCTCCCGATTGGTCTTTACCATTTGAAATCATGTGTGATGCCTCAAATCTTGCGGTTGGAGCCGTCTTGGGTCAACGAGTTGATAAATTACTCCGTGTAATTTATTATGCTAGTTTAACCCTAAACGGCGCCAAACTAAATTATACTACTACCGAAAAAGAGCTTCTTGCCGTAATTTTTTCACTTAAAAAATTTAGGTCTTACATTTTGGGATCTAAAGTGATTGTGCATTCTGACCATGCATCCCTTAGGTATCTTTTGAGTAAAACTCAATCGAAACCTAGACTTATTTGGTGGATTTTACTTTTACAAGAAATAGATGTTGAGTTTCGGGATAGAAAAGGTTGTGAAAATGTTGTTGCAGATCACTTGTCTCGCATTGTTCCTTCCGAGTCTTCACTTGCATTTTATGAGCATAACTGGATAAATGATGATTTTCCATACGAGCATGCGAGTGAAGTAACTAGTCATCCATGGTATGCGGACATAGTGAACTATTTATCCGATGAAGTCTTGTTGCCTAACCTCTCTTCGCAAGAGAGGAAACGATTTGTTTTGATGTGCAGGAGCTACTTTTGGGATGACCCGTTCCTTTACAAGATAGGAAAACATGAGATTCTTCGGAGGTGTGTGCCCGAAGAAGAGCAATCGGACGTGCTTGCCTTTTGCCACGAGCTTCATTGTGGAGCACACTTTGGGGGTCGAAAGACCGCCTTTAAGGTCCGCCAATCGGGTTTGTTCTAGCCTACTCTTTTTAAGGATGCTTATAACTTTTGCAAAACTCGTGATCGTTGTCAAAGGATCCGGAATATCGGTCCTAGAAATGAAATGCCCTTAGTTAGCAATCTTCAAGTCGAAATATTTGATGTATGGGGCATTGATTTTATGGGACCATTTCCTAAATCCTATGGCTTCGAATATATTCTTCTTGCCGTTGATTATGTGTCCAAGTGGGTCGAGGTTATCCCCACACAGACGTGCGATGCTAAAGTGGTTATCAAGTTTTTGCAAGGTAACATTTTGAGTAGGTTTGGATTTCTACGAGCTATCGTGAGTGACAGAGGCAAGCACTTTTGCAACCGAATTTTCGAGAAGTTGATTAAAAAGTACAGCATTTCACACAAGGTGGCGACACCATACCACCCACAAACGTCGGGACAAGCGGAGACGAGCAACAAACAAATCAAGACGATTCTTGAGAAGACGGTGAACTCGTCCCGGAAGGATTGGCCAAGTTGACTTAACGATGCGTTATGGGCCCAACGGACAGCGTACAAAGGAGTCTTGGGGATGAGCCCATTCCGGCTTGTCTACGGAAAAGCGTGCCACCTTCTGGTCGAAATCAAACACAAGGCGTTTTGCGCAATAAAGAAGATGAACTTTGATCTTGATACCGCCGGGAGAGAGCGCATTCTGCATCTCTCGGAACTCGAAGAACTCAGGAACGAGGCATACGAGAATTCGAAGATTTACAAGGACAAGGTCAAACGCCTTCACGACGCTCGAATTGTCGGGAAGGAGTTTGTGCCGGGCATGAAAGTGCTCCTCTTTAATTCCCGACTTCGTCTATTTCCGGGAAAACTTAAGTCCCGATGGAGTGGCCCGTTTCTTATTGACGAAGTACTGTCTTTCGGGGCCATCCGACTGCGGAACCCGTCTACCGGCAAATTATTTGTCGTGAACGGACAAAGAGTCAAGACTTATTTCGGAGAAGAAATCCAGAAGAAGCACATCGAGACCGTAAATCTCGACGAACCACAGTATACCTGATCGTGCAAGTGCTGAGCTCACGGCAATAAATCGAGCACCGTTGTACATATCTATATCTATATATATATATTTTAAAAAAAAAAAAAGAACGTCGCGGGTCGCGAAGGTAGTCGCGGCCGCGAAAGTTGTCACGAGCAGCGGAGCAAGTCGCGAGAGCTATCCTATTTTTTTCTGTCTTCTCAAGTCGCGGCCGCGAAGTGTTTGTTCGCCGCGGCTGCGAGGAGTGCCGCGGGCAGCGAGAGGGAAGAGAGTCCAGACATTTTTCTGTCCCTTGAAGTCGCGGCCGCGGAAGATGTCGCGGCCGTGGAAGTGTTCATCACCGCGGCCGCGAGTCCAACCGCGGGCCGCGACTTGGCAAAAAAATTTTCCAGGTTTTTTATGTCGCGGCCGCGAGTCCCTCCGCGGGCCGCGACTCTCCCGATTTAAGCAGATATCAGACAGAAGGACGATCATTTTTTTTTCCAAATCCATTTTCTCTCCTCATATCCGGCGAAAAGATTTTTCGACTTCACACATCAAAATCCTCTCCGAATCCTTACGAAACTCTCGAAATTTGTTCGTGAACTCAAAAATCTCACCCAACCATCCTCACGGAAGAATTTGTCCGGGCATTTGGGGATAAAAATCGGGAGCCTAGGGTTGTCTTCTCCGATCACCAACCATCTCCGGCGTCATTTTCTCCGGCCATTATCATCGACGGTTACAATCCTTCGTGTAGCAACAACGACCAAGCTCTATCACTTCATCTCTTATGAAGCTCCGTGTCCATTACCTCGTCGACGATCATTTTTTCCGGTAACGCCCTCCTAGCTTTCACTTCAAAAAATTATACGGTGTAGTGATTGGTGGATAGCTGCAGTCGAATTGAGAAAATTGGGTTGCATCACTTTCATTTTCTTAAGAGCTTCAAAGACAAAAATCTTGCCCACAACGTGTTTGCCGAATTGCCCGAGAGATAACACCATGGGTAAAAAGTCGGGACGCCAATCAAATACCGATCAAGTCGGACCCTCCAACCCCGGGAAACGAAAATTGGCCCAATCCTCGGGCCAAGGGAACCGCGAGGCCCCTCAGGGAAGTGACCGGGTCGACCTCCGACAACAATACGGTGCCTCTTTCCCAATCTACTCGAGGAAAGAGGGCGAAATATATTCTCATCTTTCCCAAAAGGAGATAGTGCGACCAAAGGCGATCGACTTGGACGTGTTGAGGAGCTTGGGCATCATTGCCGACGTCAAGAAATATTTGGGAGTACTTAACCTCCTCAATATGCCCAGATCGAGGAGAAGTCATATCGGAGCCTTATGCTCTAATATTTTAGCTCGTTTGTACTAGCTGATGGGAACGAGTACTTCACTTGCCGGATGCGGGGGAAAGATGTCACCGTGGATAACGACGTGATGAAGAAAGTCTTCAGGTTCAACCTAGTCGGAAAACGAAGCAAACCGGCGGATTTCAACGCAAAGACGAGTTGGAAGGAACTTTCCCCCGACACTACATGGGACTCCCGTGGCATGCCGAACGGCTTAGTTCAAGACTTAGCCACAGTGGTTGTGCACCGATTCATCGCCTATAACATCACGGGGAAAAAGGAGGCGAACAAACTGAGTGAAACCGAGCTCTATCTTGTATGGGCAATGCGCGCGGGAGTGAAGGTGTGTTCGATGACTTTTTTGCAAAACTCCTTGCAAGAGGTGGCTCTCGAAAAATGTGGCATACCGGCTCTCGGACACGTTGTGACGGCTTTGGCCAAACACTTCGGCATCCCCGATCAACCCGTATTTATCGACGCGACGTGGTCCATGGAAGGCGATCCAATGAGGTGTATTAATGAACATGAGCTCCGGCAAGCCGACCTCATTCAAAACTGAACCACCTCACGGGAGTACACGAAGAGAAAGGCCTACGACACCTATTTTAAGAAGCTCAAACGCGGTGAGGCACCTACCACTGATCAGGTCGGGACGTCCCAACAACCGGTTGACGATGACGAGCACGACCCTATGAATACGGATGAAGAACACTATTACCTACCACCACCCGACCCAGAACCAGTTGAGCACCATCACACCGATGTCCCACCTCAACAACCTCTGGAATGGTGGGCGACTTACCAAAACCAGTGGACCTCCTTGCAAACACAATATGCCTCCGACATCCGAGACATCCACACCCGCTTCGATGCCCAGGACAATAGGTGGACGAACCTCGAGAGCCGACAGAACACTCAGTGGTCCAACTGGGAGACACAACAAACAAACCAGTGGACTCATTGGGAGACGCAGCAGACGAACCAGTGGAATACCTGGGAGAGCCGGCAGCAGACCCAGTGGACAGACATGGGCTCTCGTTTCGACAGCCTCACCAACGGGCTCCAGTCCATTCGCGAGCGTCAGGATCAGCAAGACGCTCGCATGGACCGTTGGGATCAGCGCTTCACCCAGTGGGATACCTATTAGGTTCCGGATCGAGCAACCCCGATTTTCCACAACCGCCACCATCGGATGCACAGTGATTTCTCGCTGTGCTCTGTACGTCCTTCTTTCCCTTCTTTTTGCTTTTGAACAGTTTATTTTAATTTTTGAGTCGATTGATTGCGTGGTTTAACCTTTTTACACTGCGGATACACAATGGGGACATTGTTTCATTCTAAGTGTGTTGTGTGGCTATGTGAATAAATTTTTAGAATTGTTTTTGTTTATTTTCTTTCTAGGATTTTGTGTTATGTTTTTGAGTATAGACTATGGTGAATTGTGGGAGTAGTCAATAACGGTTGATTGAGCTAAGAAGTTGCGATAATATGAACAAGTGATATATCTCGATGAAATACTTGGTTGTTTTTATTGACGGATATTTTACCTTGTGAGGTTTGAGCCATGTTCGTTTCTTTTCTTGTGTGATATTGGTCGGAATTGTGGTCAATTAGGATTTGTCTTGAGTCTACTTTGAAATAAATTAGTCGAATTTGTATGATATGAATATGATGGAGGCATTCGTTGTATTATCCTTATTTTAATACATCCGCTAGTCAGCCCCTTTGAGCCATATTGATTCTTTCTTTAAACACCCCGTGATGATTATACTTTGAATTGCGAATTGTAGAGATTGGGAGTTGATTAGTATCGATGTTGTAAATCATTAAAATTAAAAAATCAAAATGAAACCAAAGGAAAATGAATATCCNTGTCATTTAAAAAAAAAAAAAAGAAAAAAAAGATGAAGATTGAATAATAAGGATATCATATTGGTTTTGAAGATATGGGAGGAAACGGTTGATATTTAACAACCGAAAAAAGTCTATGCTCATGGTTAGGTAAATGAATGGAGAAAAATTTGATTATTGTTTAGCCACTTAGCCTATATTTATCTTACCCGATCCAAAAAGCCTACGTTACATCCCTAAAAAGTCCTCTTGATTCATTATTTCATTGATTTGATTGTTTTAAAGTAAAAGTTAAAGGATAGCCAAATTCATGTTTGATTCGATTGATGACCAATTTGAGCGTATCCCATTGATATTTGAAAAGAAATTGAGTGAGGCATACATGATATAAATATGCACTTGAGAGTCTATGTTTTTCAAAATAAACCAAGTTATTAGTTGAGGTGTGTTCTTGTGATTATTTGAATCTTTCTTGACTTAATTGATTAGTTTGAGATTAGTTTCGCTTGAAATCATTGTCTTTACTCATTGGTGTGTTTTCTTTTCTTTTCTTTTTGTTCAGGACGAACAAAGTTTTAGTGTGGGGGAGTTGTTTGTCCCATTTTTGTTATGTTTTTCGTGCTTATTCTATCTTTCTTTTTCTCCCATTTTAGGTTATTTCTTTCATTTTTAGTTCGTTTAGTGTTCGATTATGTGTTTTCTCTTTATTTGAGTCTTTGTGAGTTGTTCGTGTATTTTTTTTTCCCGTTTTATGTTTCGTGTTGTATCATTTTTCTTATGGTAGGTCGGGGGTCGAGCGAGTTCTCTTTCCAAGAAAAGTTAGTTTGAAGACATAAATGAATAAAGGAGTTCGGGGGCGACACATAGCAAAAAACGGAAGTCAATTCCGAGTTCGGATATGCGTTTACGAGCCCGAACAAGAAAACCAAGAGTACTCGTCGCAAGCCGCGGTATGTGGTCGCGGCTGCGGGATGTGGTCGCGAGCGGCGAGCGATGTCGCGGGGCGCGAGTCAGAATACCAATTTTCCTGCTTCCCGAAGTCGCGGCCGTGGGACATGTCGCGGCCGCGAGATTACCTTCGTCGCGGGCCGCGGAGCATGTCGTGGTCGCGAGATCTTATAGTCGCGGGCCGCGAGTTCCTCCGCGGCCGCGAGTTCCTCCGCGGCCGCGAGTCCTGCAGTTTGCTGAAATTATGGCTTTTTCTCCCTCTTTTCCTCCTTAGTGGTGATAGTGGCGAATTTTGAGCATGTTTTTGGGCACTTACATCTGAATTTTGGGGGTTAAACACTATAAATACACCTTCATTACAATGTATAATCATCCAACTCTTTATTTCATAATTTACTTCAAGAATTTTCTTCATTTTTCCTAAGTTTGGTCTAAGTTTGTATTGTGGTTTGTATTGAAGACATTGTTGGGATTGTATTATGTTTGCATTTGTGCTTGTGGATTTCTCATTACAAGTAAATTATCTCCTTCATTTTATCTATGTTAAAGATGGCTTGTTTTAATATGAATGATCATGTTAAACTTATCATGAACAACTAAATCCTCTAACTAGGGTTAGGGGATAATCATTTCGGTACGTTTTTACCTATGTGTATATCAATTACTAAATCTTTACGAGCTTTACTTATTTCATGATTGAATGCTTGATCATCATTTTAATCTAAACAATCGATTTCAAAACTGATAGGGGCGAAATTGGTAGAACTTGGCTCGTTTAGAATAGACATGTTCGGAAACGTATTGTCTATGTGTTAATTAACTCGTCAACTTACTCATTGATGTTTTTTCGCATATTACGAAAGTTAGTGAGGAAAAACCGCTAAATAAGGTAGTTGATTGAGCTTCTTAATCAAGTAATTGATATTCGCCAATTTTATGTAAAACCGAAAAAGATTATCCCCGATACCCTAATTATTTACATTCCTTTGAATTATCTTCATCTTGCTAATTTATATCTCTTTGAATTATTTTCAATAGTATAATTTTAAATTGTTCTAGTTAAGAATTATTAAGTAAAAAAAAAAATCCAATCAACCACTTGAATTAGAATATTTAGAATTATTTCGTTTTTGTGATCGAATAAACGTACAAAATAGTCCGGCTAACCTTCCTTGAGAACACGACCCGGTGTTCGAATCTTTTGGTTCTACTCCGGTAAAATAAACTACAACAACCTCAGAGTCAGGTCTTTCGGTTTTTGACCTCAGTGGTCATTCGGATTTCGATGTTCGACCCCAGTGGCGTGTCACTCGGTTTTCAACCTCAGTGGTAGGTCTTTCGGTGTTCGACCTCATAGGCAGGTCTTTCGGTTTTTAACCTCAGTAGTTATTTGGTGTTCGTTTGGGTCCCGACGCTCAATTGGAAGTTTGGTGACTATTTGGTAGTCAAGGATTTATTCAAATTATAACCTCAGTGGTAGGTTGACGGTAGCAGTCCGAAGAGGAATTTTATTCTTGGATCGAGTCATGCTTACTCGACAAGAGGGGGGAGGGGGGACAAGATGTTATAGAATATTATACTAGACTAGTTTTAATAGATAAAAAGGAAATATATTGTAGAATAAGCCTACACATGGGCTAGGACACGTAGCATAATGACATTGACTAAGCCCAACTTGGGCACTAAGGTACACTCCTCCTATAAAAAAGGGTTAAGGTATCTCATTCTCTCTACATTCATTACTATAAACTTGGAATTTGGAGTTTTGGAGTGATATTGACTTGAGCGTCGGAGGCCCGACGCCGGGACCCCTCCAGCCGTTAGGTTCTTGTAGGTACGGAGGTCGTTCGAGTTGAAGGAGCCCAGGTGAAATCCATTTTCACCAACATAACCTAATAAGATAATTAATTCTAATCTATAACATAATAATTTCTAACATAATAGTAACAAATTTTAATTTATAAGATAATTAATTTCTAACTACTATTATATTTTTGTTGTAAATAAAATAATTAATTAAAAATAAAATAAAATTGTGGTCGGCCGACCTGGCCAGACTACGGCCGGCCGATCGGCGATTACGGCCGTGCTCGGTCCGGCCGGCCGACATTTTAGGCCATGCTTGGCTTGGCCGACCTCCAAATGTGGCCAGCAATGGCCCGACCTAAATGTCGGCCGGCCGGACCGAGCACAGCCGCAATCGCCGGTCGGCCGGTCGGCCGTCGAGAAANAAAAAACAAACAAACGAAATTTAATAGTGGTTTTAGAGTAAAACGAAAACTGCTCCTATAACGTAGTTAAAGGAGAAGAAAAAAAAGAAAAAAAAGGACAGAAGATTTTCAAAAACTAATAAACAGTTGTGAAAACTTCGACCTTTTACTGAGAGGCAGAAGCGAGAGAGCGAGAGTGACGGTCTGGTTTGAACAAGCAGATGCAGGTGGGTTACAAATTGTTTCTCTCAATTGAAAGTAAGAGCACCATTTTGGAATTTGGATCTGCCACATAAGGCCCGCAAAAAGGCATTTTCTGGACTGTGTTTCGAAATTTAACTTCGTAATGATCTGATGGTTAGTTCTCTGATATTTATGTTCATATTTGATGTAATTTACGTTATACTTGCTCTCCTGTGTGTGGCTTTCAAGATCTATGGTATTTATTCACGATCTTGGTTGTGTATGACGTGTTAATCAATATTGGGTTACAGTTGATTTTTCTAGTGTGGTATTGATAGTCTTTTGGGTTTTGTGTAATTTCGATCCTAGGGTTATTGCGAGAAATTCAGAAAAGGGTTGGAAATGTTGTTCCAAAATTTTATCTAGTTAAAAATAGACTATGTATTGAGTTCTGACATCTGAATGATTTATAGTATATTTCTTTGTTCTGACATCAGGTGCTGTTGTATATTGTTCTCCTTGTATAAGTCGAAAACATATGGAAAATACTAACATTTTCAATAATTGAAACTTCAAATTACTTTTTCTGTCCTTGTGGGGATTATATAATTCCTTTGTGCACAAATTATCTCATTTCAACCATTGTTGATAATATAGTTTGTATCTTAGCAATATTTGCCGTTTCGTGTTATTCTCCCAATAATACCGTGCTTTTGTTTCTTCCTGTTATCTGCAGGTTTCATACTACTCATTCCAGTAGATCTTGCTTGTAAGGACTGTAGAACTCACACAGCGTGCAGTTTTGGTCATGACTTTTGATAAATGGGCCAGTGGCGTCTGAAATGAAAGATTATTTTATATTGCTGACTTCTGATACTCGATAACATGGTGTTCAGTAAATTATCAAAGTTGTTTTCATCTACAGCATTGCATTTGTCAAACCCAAAGGCTTCAGTTTCGTATAAACCACCTGGTTTGCCTCCTATTCCTGGTTCTCACCATAACTTTACCTATTCTAGCCCTAAGAAGGCTAATTTGAGATTTTCATCATCCCTTCAAGATTTGTCCACTTATTACCAAGTTGATCCAGAAACTGGCCTCAGTCCAGGATTAGAAAGTAGCCCAAGCCATGCTGTACCACAAAAGTTTTTGCAGCAAGAAAATGGCGCATCAAGTTTTTCCAAAGAAAAGCCTGTTTCATCAACAAGGAAAAGCTGTCTGCGAGTTTTCTATGTTCTTTGTCTATTGTTATTTGCCTGTCTTTGTTTCGGTTCAGTAATTTTGTACGCAAACTGGACTAGTGGATCATCCAATTATTATGTGGTGCTCGACTGTGGGAGCACGGGGACCCGCGTTTACGTGTACCAGGCATCCATCAACGACAAAAAAGATGACCATTTTCCTATTTTGGTAAAATCGCTGCCCGAGAGTTTCAACAGTAAATCCGGTTCTCAAATAGGGCGTGCTTATAACAGAATGGAGACCGAGCCCGGATTTGACAAATTGGTACACAATACATCTGGTATGAGAAAAGCCATTAAGCCCCTCATTAAATGGGCCGAGAAGCAAATACCGAAAAAGTCGCATAAGTCAACCTCTCTCTTTCTATATGCTACAGCTGGAGTTCGCAGGCTACCGCCTGCAGACTCCAATTGGCTTCTTGATAATGCGTGGTCGATTTTAAAGACTTCTCATTTTACGTGCAAAAGGGAGTGGGTAAAAACTATCACGGGCATGGAAGAAGCTTATTACGGATGGATTTCTCTGAATTATCATACGGGTGTTTTGGGGTCTATCCCGAGGAAGGAAACATATGGTGCGCTCGACTTGGGTGGCTCATCGTTGCAGGTCACTTTTGAAAATAATCTTAGTAGCCATGAGGAAAGCAGCTTAAAGCTCAGCATTGGATCTGTAAACAATCAACTGAGTGCTTATTCTTTATCTGGATATGGACTTAATGACGCATTCGATAAATCTGTGGCACACCTTGTTAAAAATCTTCCTCACATCAATAATGCAGATTTATTAACTGGAAAAACTGAAATCGAACACCCATGTTTGCATACTGGTTACAAAGAGCACTACTCGTGTTCACAGTGTTCATCCGTTGGGCTAAAAGATGGAAACTCTCCTACAGAGGGGAAAAGCTTAAATGAAAAAGGGAAAAAACATGGGGTATCTGTTAAGCTTATAGGTAAGCCGAAATGGGATGAATGTACTGCTCTTGCAAAAGTCGCTGTTAATCTATCCGAATGGTCAAATCTTGAGACGGGACTCGATTGCGAGCTACAGCCATGTGCCCTTGCTGAAGATCTACCCCGTCCAAAGGGCCAATTTTACGCTATGTCTGGGTTTTATGTTGTGTACCGTTTTTTCAACCTGACCCCAGTTGCCTCCTTGGACGATGTCCTGGAAAAGGGCCGTGAATTTTGCGAAAAGAATTGGGATGTTGCGAGAAAAAGTGTGGTCCCTCAGCCTTTTATTGAGCAATACTGCTTCAGGGCACCGTACATTGCTCTTCTCCTTAGGGAAGGGTTGCATATTAGTGATAGTAATGTTATTGTTGGCTCTGGTAGCATCACATGGACTCTTGGGGTGGCTTTGTTTGAGGCTGGGAAGGCTTTTTTTCCTCATAGATTTTACGGGTACCCAATTTTTATGGTTAGGATGAGTCCATTTGTTCTGCTTGGGGTTTTGTTTGCTTCGTTGTTTGTGTTGGTGTGTGCGCTTTCCTTCGTTGGCAATTGGTGGGTACCCAATATTTTTCGGAGGGCGTATATCCCACTTTTCAGGCATAACAGCGGGGCAACTAATTCAGTGCTCAATATCCCGTCTCCTTTCAGATTTCAGCGCTGGAGTCCTATCAATGCAGGTATCCATCTATCTATCTATCTATCTCTAAGGATAAACGTCAGTTTAGTCTGATTATAATATTGCCTTTGGTATTGTCCACATTTCCTTAAAGATTATCATCTTTCCGCGAAACCTCTTCATGTAAGGGAAAGTATTAATTTCAGAAGATACTCATAATATTTTGTAATTCGACCATATCTCATGGATAGTCTGCATTGATCGACCCTGTATGTAAATATGGGCACACAAAAGTATGTTAGTAACCCTAACAAATCGATCTTCACAAGGAAAACAAGATTCTTTGAAAAATCATTATTTTTTTTAAGTAAAAATTGAAAATACTCTCTCTGAACACAAAAACAAGCAGCCCACTTGTTTATTGACACGTCATGCAAATAAAATGATATGCCGCTTTTGATAATTGCAATGGTCAGGTGATGGAAGAGTTAAGATGCCACTGAGCCCTACAGTTGCGGCCACTCCTCAACAAAGACCGTTTGATAGCAGACTCAATTTTGGTGGTGGGGGCATTCAGTTTGCTGAATCATCATCATTTTACTCTTCATCAAGTAGTGCAGCACATAGTTATTCGTCAGGCAGCTTAGGACAGATGCAGCAGTTTGACCATAATGCCCTCGGTCCTTTTTGGACGCCCCACAGAGGCCAAATGCGTCTCCAGAGTAGGAGATCACAATCTCGGGAGGATCTCAATTCTTCGCTTGCTGAGGCTCACTTGGCAAAGGTCTAAGGTTATATAAAGATGTTTGGTTCTGGAAAAAAAAAAGAAAAAAATCAGCATTGACGGGGATTATGAGGCTTCCAACAAAAAAGATCAGTGGTTAAACATAAAATAATTTGCCAATCACTCCCAAAAGAAACGAAAATAATACAATCGAGAGGAAGCAGATTAGTTAAGATTTTGTGGTTTTGACATAGAAGAAAGGTGACTGTTGTTATCACCAAAGTTCTGTGAAGGCCTGAAAGCTCGATTAACTTGTTATTACATGACAGGCCTATCCACTGAATTGATTACTAGGCTTAGAGGAATTTTGCAAAACTTGCTCGCGTAATATTTTTCGATATTTTTGTACATAAGAGTATGATTATTAATTGATGCATTCTTTATTCCCATATTTGATGTCAGTAATTGGCTGGTTCACCGAAAGGTGTTGTGAGTTCTCACTTTGCTACTGTCAATGATGTTGAAACACAAATTGCTTTGAAGAATATGAATTGTTGTAGTGCGCGTGTTTGTGTGTTTTAACACTAAATTTCAATCTGCATCAAAGACAATTTGGCCAACCCTGAGACAGAGCGTGCCTAACATGATTGATAACTCTTGGGCCTTCGCTTTGAATCCTGACGGTAGTTTTTGACAGCAGTGAGAGGGCCTTTGTTTTTTATTCGTAAAATAATATAATTTGATTTCCACATATTGAGCAGATTTTGACATCTACAAAATCAAGACTCTACTAAACAACCTCCTCTCCTCACTTTCGATTTACCATTATCATAATAAAGTGCATAATGGATCAATCTACCCAAGTCAAATTTAAGATCGTGGACTCAACGTCATTGAGCCCACCCATTTTATAATTAAACCAATTCTGTTCTTGAGGACTCCGACTTATTTATAATGCAAAAAGTTGTAGGAAGAGAATGAAAGAGATGCAAACTGAAAATATGAACTCAACAAACATCAAGCATGACATTTTAATTGCATCCGAAAGGATCTCAAGGTAGAAACATGAAATTCAACACAAGTTCTTGCAAACCGCTAGTACAACTATTCCCAGAGCATCTTAGGACAAAACCCAAAAACCATTTCTCTTCGCTAGCAATGGAAAATCACAACACAAAATGTAAAAAAAGACAATGCAGGAGAAAAAATAAACACATATGAAGAAACTTGAAGCAAGCAAGAATGCCCTCTTACTGAAGCAACATCTGATCAAAGTGCCAAACACCTGTCGTCCACAAGCATAAGAATTAGTTGAAGGGAAAAGCATATGTTGCATGGCAATGATGTTACGGATCATCTCTTGGAGGATATAGAAAAAAAAAATAATAATCAGATAAAAAATGTCAATAAAAGCTAAATGGGCTTTGTATTTTACTGTTTTTATACCATGGCCTTTGCCAACTCTTCTCAGCTGCGCAACATATTCTGATATTTTCTTAATAGACTCCACCTGGAAGAATGGATCATGTCAGGGTTGCAAATTATATCACTTCTCAAATTACAGTGGCACATGGAACTGTAGAACGCAAGGGAACATTATTTATTTATTTTTTTTTGGGCGGGGTGGGTTTGGGGGTGGTGGTGGCAGAATTCAAAACCTGCTCAACCAAAAACTCGCTCTCAATAAAATCAGTCAACTGTACATCATTGTTCCTGGAGGCAACCTGTTATCAGCATGCCGAAGATGATATTAGCCGTATGCAGGTTTATAAGAAAGAAAAAAAAAATTCAAATACATCAACTCACGGCGTGCAGGTTTAGAAGCTTCTCATTTGTCAACTTTTCCAAAGATAGAGTGAGCTCCATAGCTATATGGTAACAAGAAAAACAAGTTAGCCTTCAACAAAAACCCTATTTGTGGAAATTGTGATTTGAGGAATGTTGGTAAATTAAGATTGAAGTGCTTCTCAGTGGGCGGGGTTGAGAAGTACCAAGTACCAACTTTCTTGTAGGAATGAGGGACAAGGTAATGCATAATGGGGCCATAAAATGAAATGTCTAACTAGCATCATTGTTGACAGCAAAGCAAATAGAGTATGGAGACATGTTGTTTTAAAAAATATATATCAATTTCATATTCCATGAAAGTATCTGTATGTTAGGCTTAATGTTTGTACAACTAGGCTAACAAAAATAGGAAAGGAACTATCTACCATATAGAGCATCTCCTTTTTCAGCATGATCAAATTCCGAAAGAGGCATCAAGATAGACTGCAGCTTCACCTTCCCTCCTCGTTTGTTCTAATTTTGTAAGCAAATTATTTGATCAACACCTCAAATTAATCAAGATTGTGAAACTATACAAGAATCATATGTTGCGAATTGTAGCAGACCTGATATTCCATTAGTTTTTCAGCATGTTCTCTTTCTTCTATGCTTGATTCCTTGAAAAATCTACATAAAAACAAGTGACAACCAATTTTAGTTCATATCATAAATGGAAAAACGATTCTATGAGATTAAACATTAACAAAGTTTAGATATCTACTTAGCGAGCCCCTTGAGTGCAACATTGTCTCTGTCGAAGTAGGCAAACATAGCATGGTACACATATGAAACATTGTACTCCACACTGTAACCACAACATCCATTCTAAGGTCAATAAATTAGAAAAAACAAAAAATAAAAAGAAAGAAGGTTCCATTAAAATGAGGAAAAATATAATCCATAACTTATTCATAATTAAAAGACGATGAAATCGCTGATAAGGGGGTGATTAATCTACAGCCACACCACCACTAAACTTGATATTTGAGATGATTACTGATTGATCGATTCACATTTACATAATAAACTTTAGAGCTTCCGCGATAGACCTTCACTAATGTCATTAATATTTTGATAATTAATTTTCAGCCTTCTCTTTTCTTAAATAGCTTCAACTTTTCTTTGAACACTATATGATAATATACTGATTAATTGAATCGTGTAACAGTAGGGAAGATGCACTAAATCCTTCTTGTTAAGCATTCACAAAGCCTTTTATCTAAAATTTTTAGAGAATAGAACTTAATGTTCGGGGCTATTGCTACAGCTGACCGTGGGGAAACCTTGTCTCTGTTTGATTTGTCAACCTTAGCAAAGCAAATAAGATGCAATCATTCGATTTAAGACGAGTCTGCCATGGCAGGCAACAATACGCTACCTCTCTTAAAATCAATTGACAACATGTGGCAACCACAAAGAAGAGCTTACAGTCCTTATGCAACTAACACGCAACCGTAAAAGTAGGGAACAACTCATGGATCAATCTTGTAGTATAGTATGTGGATCATATCAAGCAGGGCAAAAAATGCACTATTTTGTTGAAAGGAAAAAAAAAAATGCTTAGGTCTTTCTCCCTCTCAAGCCAGAGCATATCGCTACTGAAATAAAACTGTTTGAGCAAGCTGCACATGTTCAAGCTTTAGGAAGCCTGTTTACCAAGAATAAATCACAATGCTCATTGCCTACAGTGAGTGTGACGCTGTTTTCATTCAAGACAGGGGTCTTTCCTTTTTTAGCAGTAGCCACGTAGAGCCTTCAACTTCAATAAGATTTGCGCCAGTAGTCAGGTGGATAGGTATCAAGCACTTGTGTGTTCTAGTGAAGGTCACTAGCTACAACATTTTAGCTTCTTTCTGGTTTTTTCTTTTTTCGATTAATTCTTTTCGGTAATTACTCTAAACAGGATTTCTGTCAGCTAGACAACTTTCAAGAAACAATATTTTTATTTTCTTCTTTTCTGAATACGAACATAGAAGATGGATGAGAATCCAGACCTTATAACTTAGCCTAGTCTGAATTCTCAGTAACAAACAATTTTCCTCCAGATATTCAAGTTTCAAACAACAGAAAAAAAAAAGAAATAATAATCATAGAAATAAGAAGCGAAGTAAAGGAAAACCAACTTGATTTGTTCATTGATAGCAGCTTCAGACTCGACAGAGTACTTTTGTCGAGCGAGGGAATCCTGTGGGACGGTGGGCACCAGCATCAGCTCCTTCTTCACTTCCTCAAACGGTTCGAAGACGACGCCGGTCAATGGTTTGTTGTTCGCGTGTTTAGCCACACACAAAATGCAACCATTTTTCCCCCGAAATTTGTTCGGCGAAATGTGAGAAGACGAGGCGGATGAAAGCAGAGCGCTTAGATTCTCGCCATTGGTGTTCAATAGACCAAACGCAGGTGCCGATTTCACAAGCATTATTGTTGTTGCTGTGGAGTTGAGTAAGAGGAAATTGAGAGAGAGAGAGAAGGATGCGTGTGTGCTCTTCTACATCCATCCTAGACTGTAATTTATATGGATTTGTGTACATCCCTAAGGAGGACGTGGACCGTTGGATAGAGAACACGTGGGGATAGAGATTACTGACTTGAAACGTTCGCGTGTCGACCACATGGAGGTCGAATATTTGTTGAATCTATATATATCTATCGTCTAGGTTCTGGGTATCGATTTTAATGAGCACACACAAGCGCATATCACGTTTAGAAAAGTAATATTAAAATTATTTTTTAAAGTTAAATATTTTTGTTTTTTGGAAGCTTTCTTTGAAAATTCTCAATCCTTAATTAAACTTCCAAGTCAGTCCCTCTTCATAATTTCTATCTATTTTACTCCCTACCCCCATATTCATCTTTCATTTAAATCCCTCCTATTAAAATAAATGACAAAAAAATTAATTTGTGACATCATCCCCACTTACACATTATTTTACTATTTTTCTTTACCTAAAAATCTGATTTTATGTTCCTTCTTCCCCACTCATCTCCTCCCGTTTTCCTTCTCTTTTTTCTTCATCTTCTCGCCGCCGGCCCTTTTTTTTTTGTTTTCTTTTGCAGCTTCATCTCGCCGGCGACACAAAATTCGGCAAGAAGAACACCGGAGGCAACAATTCCGGCGACATCGAGGCTTTTTTCGGCCAAAAATCTAGTTCTTTGTCCGAAAATTCCTTTTTTTTTTCCGGCAACATTGTGGCTTTTTCCAGCGAAAACTTGAAGTAATAAGTAATGTATGTATTATATGAGAACTCTGGAGTCCAAAAATCATCTTTAATTCATATATTTTTGTTTGATTTGTGAAGGATTGAATTTTGAATATTGTTGTTTATATTTACCCTAAACAAATAAAGTGATCATAATCCTTTTTTTTGTTCATGTGTACTAAATTGATGCTATTGTTAGGTTATGTTAGATTTTATTGAACATAAAACAAAAAAATAAGATGAGAATAATCATAGTACCACTATTCATGATTGTGTTGTACCTCTGTTTGGATATATAGTACCACTTTCCTCACTGTTGGTACCATCTGTGTTGGAAAATGTGAACATTTTCTTTTTCTAATCCAATTATTGTTAGATACATGGAAGGGGCACAAAAATTTCTATCTCTCTGTCCGAAAATTCTTATTTTTCCGGTAAGATTGTGACTTTTTCCGGCGAAATTTTAAGTAGTAAGTAATGTATGTATTACATGAGAAGTTTGGAGTCCAAAAATCATCTTTAATTCATATATTTTTATTTGATTTGTGAAGGATTGAATTTTGAACATTGTTGTTTATATTTATCCTAAAACAACTAAAGTGATCATAAACCTTTTTTTTTGTTCATGTATACTGTTATAATATGTACAAGTGGAATAAATCACTATGCACAAAATAATTTCACTCCATTATTTGATGTTATGGGAATAGTGAAATGGGGTATGGATATTAATAATTGATGTGAATTGTGTCGGGAGAGTTTTGCCTATAAAAGGCACTCCAAGTGTAGAGAAAATTGGCACCATTGAAAGAAAGAAAGAAGAAAGAAATATTCAGTATAATTTCTATCTGGTTTCTATTTTGTGTTCTTTATCTTTCTCGTTTTTATAACACGTTATCAGCACGAGCGCTCTATCCGATCAAGAAAGGTAGGAATATACTAATTATATATGTATGTATATATATATTACCTAAAATTAGTATATTTTACTGATATACATATTACCATTATTATTGGCAAGTAAGGCTATGCCATAGTCAATAATATGTGGTAAGATGATATTATTAAATTTGCTTATGATTACTACTAATTATGATATATAACTTCAAGTTATAATAAATAATATTATTACTTATACTTAACGCCCACAAAATGGTTCACCCAGTAATGTGGTGTGAAATTTATAACTGCTTATATTTGTACCCACCGAAAGATTTATCGAGTAGTGTGGAGTGACATTTTTATTTGTTTTGACACTTATATTCATTAAATTGTTCACATAGTGGCTCGATGAATTTTTAAGATAATATACATGATTAATTAGTATTTTATAATCATGAATGATTAACTAACAAATATTATATCATTAATTTGTTCCCAACGGCTACATAACGGCTATATTGCAACGGCTACTTATCAACTTATATATATATATCACACTACACTTCATATATTAACACTCATTTCAAATACTAAAATATATTTCCCTCAAACGAAAAAAAATGTTTCATCTACTATTTATAATTACCATTATATTGTTTATTTTTTACACTTTGGGAATTTTCACGATGATGTATCATACCACTGAATTTATACTTTATGTATTAGGTTTTTGTATGATGTGTCTCTTATTTGTTTTTCTGTACGTTATGGAGAATTAATGATTGTATAATGTAATTTTCTCTAATATAAGCATTGATGTTTTATTTTATAGTTATCATGGCAAATCTGGTCAAACTTGAATTTGAGGCTCTTGACATTTCGGGAAAAAATTATATTTCATGGACACTGGATGCCGAAATTCATTTGGCCGCGAGGGGATTGGGAGAAACAATAATCTCCCCAAATAATTCATCAATACAAGATAAAGCTAAAGCAATGATATTTCTGCGGCATCATTTAAATGAGGGATTGAAAAATGAATACTTAACTGTGAAAGATCCTGCGGATCTTTGGAAAGCTTTGAAAGAAAGATACGATCATCAGAAAACAGTAATTCTCCCCCGGGCTCGTTATGAATGGATGCACTTACGCTTCCAAGATTTTAAAACTGTAAACGAGTTCAATTCAGCCATGTTCCGCATTTGCTCGGTATTGAAATTATGCGGGGAAAACGTAACTGATTACGATATGCTTGAAAAAACGTTGTCCACATTCCACGCTTCAAACGTACTTTTGCAGCAACAATACAGAGCAAAAGGCTTTGTGAAATATTCTGAGCTGATTTCTTGCTTGTTGCTAGCCGAACAAAATAATGAGCTGTTGATGAAAAATCATGAATCTAGACCCACGGGGTCTACTGCGGTCCCTGAAATAAATGCTGTAATATCTAAACAGGGAACCGGAAATGAAAACAGCCAAACAAATGTGCGTGGATATACCTCGGGACGTGGCCGTGGTCGTGGACGTGGACGTGGACGTGGACGTGGCCGTGGATATGGTCCAGATAGAAATTATGGACGAGGCCGAAATTTTTTCCCAGGATACAAATCTGGCCGAGGTAATTATCATGGACATGGAAAAAATGATTTTCATAAACATTCTGAAAATAATAAAGGGGATAACGATGAAAAGGCATGCTATCGATGTGGTAGAAATAACCATTGGGCTCGAAATTGTCGAGCCCCAAGGCACGAGGTTGAAAAATACCAAGATTCCCAGAAATCAAAAGATAAGAATATAGAAACTAATTTTATGGTTGGGGAATCCTCTGAAAATGATGCAACGCGTGTGGATGATGACTATGGCATCGATGACATATTGAAACTGGATTTTGCCGATGCGGCATTTGAAGACGGAGCTGGAAATGACCTAGAGAATAACTGATGATCATGTTTTTATTTTGCTTTTTGAGTTGTAATGTATTTGTGTATGAGCTACTTGTATCTGTACTTTGAATTTGATCAATAATAAATGTTGTTTTCTTTTAGATCATGGATCGGTCTCGAATTCAAGATGGAGATATATGTATTGCAGATTGTGCTACTACTCATACTATCCTCAAGGACAGAAAATATTTCGTGAACTTGAAATTAAATGAAGCAAAAGTAAACACAATATCCGGAAGTGCAAAGATAATTGAAGGTTTTGGAAAAGCCATATTTTTTATGATGGGCGGTACAAAATTTATATTAAGTGATGCACTATTCTCCCCAAAATCAACAAGAAATTTGTTGAGTTTTAAAGATATCCGAACGAACGGATACCACATTGAAACGATGAATAAAGGGGGAGTTGAATATCTTTGCATTACCTCAGATAATGCGGGAAATAAATGTGTTTTGGAGAAGTTACCCGCTTTATCCTCGGGTTTGTATTATACCCGGATTAATATAATTGAGGCATATGCTGCAACAAATTCAAAGTCGAATGAAATATTTAAACTTTGGCATGATCGACTTGGTCACCCTGGCTCGATAATGATGCGACGAATTATTGAAAATTCTAGTGGCCATCCACTAAAAAATGAGAGGATATTGCAAACACATGAGTTGACATGTGCCTCTTGTTCTCAAGGGAAATTGATAATGAGACCATCACATACTAAAGTCGGACATGAATCACCATTATTTTTAGAAAGGATTCATGGTGATATATGTGGACCTATTCATCCACCTTGTGGTCCATTCAGATATTTTATGGTGTTGATTGATGCCTCTAGTAGATGGTTTCACGTAAGTTTGTTATCCACTAGAAATATGGCATTTGCTAAATTACTTGCCCAACTTATTAAATTAAGGGCTCAATTCCCAGATTATATTATCAAGAGAGTCAGACTGGATAATGCTGGAGAGTTTACATCTCAAGCATTTAATGATTATTGTATGGCTGTGGGAATTGATGTTGAACATCCTGTGACACATGTTCACACTCAAAATGGTCTAGCAGAATCACTTATTAAACGACTGCAGCTTATAGCTAGACCATTGATAATGAGAACAAAACTCCCCACTTCAGTAAGGGGACATGCTATTCTGCATGCAGATGATCTAATTCGAATAAGACCAAGTGCATACCATACATTCTCGCCATTACAGTTGGCATATGGTCGAGTACCAAATATTGCACATAGAAGAGTTTTTGGTTGTGCAGTATATGTACCAATTGCTCCGCCACAACGTACAAAAATGGGGCCTCAAAGAAGGTTGGGAATATATGTTGGATATGAATCTCCATCAATAATCAAATACCTTGAGCCAAAAACAGGTGATGTTTTTACAGCTCGTTTTGATGATTGTCATTTTAATGAAGAATTGTTTTCCCCTTTAGGTGGGAATGA